TACCACACTAGAGTTGACAAAAATTGCAAAACATTTTATTCAAGCTGCTTTCCATGTCCTGTAGAACACTGCAATTTCTATACAATTCTGACAAATACTGTAGGGTCTTTTGACAGTGCTAATGGGGGATTGTTTCCACACAACATTTATGGTGGTCATGCCAAATAATTTTTGAATGTTAGACAGTGGTCCATGAAATAATGGTTGCCTTTGTGAATGCCCTAATCACCAGCAACTTAATTTTATGAAGGCTTCTATCTTTAAATATAGAAAATCACTCATTATTATGTTATTATTTATATAGCGCCAAGAAATTCTGCAGTGCTTTTGCAGTAGGTGGACAAACAAACATGTAGTTGTAACCAGACAAGTTGGACACACAGGAACAGAGGAGTTGAGGGCCATGCTCAATGAGCTTACATGCTAGAGGGAGTGGGGTAATGTGACAAAAGGTAAGGATAGTATTAGATTAATGACAGATGCAAGAGAGGAATCAGTCGGAAGCTATTAACAGTTTAATTGACACGCTTTTATGAAGAAGTGGGTTTTTAATGATTTTTTGAAGGAGTGGAGACTGGGTTAGCATCTAACGGAGGAGGGAAGTGAGTTCCACAGGAATGGTGCAGCCCTCGAGAAGTCTTGGAGGCGAGCATCAGAGGTGGGAATATGGACAGAAGATAGACGTAAGTCTTCAGCAGAGCGTAAGGCCTAGATGGGACATACTTGTGCATTAGGGAGGATACTCACAGTAGACTATTTCTTAATCCGTGTCTTCTGAAAGGCAACCACAGGCTACATCAATTAATTTGTCGGAAGATGGAATAAAAAAGCTTGCAAGTATGGAAGAAGTAATGGCACTATTCTATGTATATACTTTGTATCAATGGTTTCACCCAACTCCTATACTTCTCTACTATCCCGTTTTTATTAGTTCTCCTCATACTTTATATCAATGGTATCACCCAGCTCCCATACTCCCTTCCTAACCTTTTTAAAATTACTTTTCCTCTCTATGTTTTCTCTCCAGCTTTCCTTGCATTCCATTTTCTCTCCTTCATATTCCTTTTCTGTATTCATATTTACTTTTCTGAACCTTATTGTGCATCATTAATTTTGTATTTGTATTCATTTAGTGCATTTTGACGTATACAAATAATTTCCTAAATAATACTAGACCAGGATTAATCTGTGAAGAAGCTATGTATGGATTAATCTGTTTGGCTTTGACCAGTTCTGGAGGCTTTCAAGTGATCATTTTATTTATTTCTCCCTTTTGTTTTGTTAAAAACAAATTTAATAAATGAAGCTTGCAAAACATATTTTCCCTTCATTTTTTAATTTGAATATAAATGTCACAGCTCTTCAGTGCTGACAGTACCCACACCACCTTGATTCCAATGAATACAGCTAGGTGCAAATCCCTCTATAATATCACTGTGAACCCACATGCAAAGTCATAAGAGCTTGTTTGTTCAGAACCCTAAACTATGCACTTTCTACCTTAACAGGCTTGTAAAGTATCATTAAACTACCTGTGAAATGCAGTAATTACTTGTGTAGGTTATTTGTTCACTGCTCATAAGTAAAAGGGCTCAATAATTATGGTCTATCGTGTATAAAGTAGCATTCAGCTCCCTTTCATTTGATCCCTAAACTTTTTCCAACTTTTTATTTTCTTTAATCTATGCTATAGGTCATGTGTAAATAAATGTGGACCTTTATGTGTAACAGTTTTGCCATATCATGCTATACCAAGACTTACTAAGTGTTTGTTATATTTTATTACTGTTGAGTTAAAAAAAAGTGTAGGAGGAAAAGAAACGAAAAATGTGTTCAGATCACACCTATTAACTTGAATTTTCCTGGCATTTTTTTTTTTTTTTTAGAAACCACTTGGAAAAATAATATATGCTCTGTTTATAAAATCATGCACTTTTTTCCTATTGCAGATGACTGTTCATTATAATTTATAGTTTATTAAAGAAGTCAGTTTGATAGTATGAATAGAAAGTGAAAATATTTTATTTCAATTATTTTTAAATGTATTTCCTGGAGGCAAAGAATTTTTATTGTGTTTGTCTAGTACATGCATACCATAATTTGCTGAGAATAGCTTAAAACTATGTAAGACAATGATAAAAAGTAAGATGGTGTATTAAAGCACACAGTCTATATTTAAGGCACAATACTTTCTTATTTACACATCTAACCTAACTGTGAACAAGATGAAATAAAGAACTCATCACATACAATAGGCTTGTTATATATTTATTTCACTGTTATAAAATTTGCATTTGATGTGATAATGCAATGTGAAAATGAATTAAAAGGACACACTCCTCTCTTAGCACTACTGATGTACAGGTAGTAGACTACAATTCAAATTGTTCAGTCCTAATAATGTTGCAATGAGACCAACAGTAACAAAATGTGTAGCTAGCTCAGTGTGGGATAAAATATGGAATTATAAGGGTTACAAACACCTACTTGTTTTTGTAAATTTGGACTGGATATTTTCAAAGTCCTCTGTGCTGGTGATTTAGTTCCTTAAATCCATAGAATCACAGCCGATCTAGAAACACAGCATTAAAAAGTCAGCAAATATGGAGAAGCAGAGGAAATAAATCCTCTGGATCAGTGGGGTAAGGGAAGGCAAATAAGGCTCAAATAGATGTAAATCACCCACTGCAACTGGTAAGGAAAAAAAAAAAAAACCACACGGAGCTCAAAAGTACAAATATAGAACAGCAAAAGAAAAACCTATTGCATCAACCAGGAGCGGGTGACATATTTTATAGCTCATTCCCTTATTTTATATATCACTCACTCACGGTGGATGGAATAGGTTTTTCTTTTACTGTTCTATAACAGCACTAAACAGAACTTGTGAAATCAATCCATGAGTAAAACCATATAGTGCAGATTTATTAAAATCTATAGCCACAAGAATAGGCGACAATGGAAAATAAATTTCATGTACAAATGAATCCTGCACCAGGCATAAATGGGGGAACAAAAAGACACAAAACAAAAATGAAATTAGACAAACACTGGACCCAAGCCATTTCACATCTCTCCTGGATGTTATATCAATATGCCATGTAACACACATTTTAATAAATCTGCACTATTAGGATTGTCTCATGGTTGATTTAGCAAGTGCTTTTCATTGCAGTGTTTCTGGATTGTTTGGGATCCTTATTATGTTGCTCATAAGTTGTTCCCAATAATGGCTGAAGGAATAGCAATAGTAACAGAAAGAATTGAATTAAATTATGGTAAGGGACTCCCAGAACTGAACAGGTGAGATACAGTAAACACTAAAGAAAGATGTCTATTTTAGCTTATCCTGAGTAGGGACTATTTCTAAGAATTTTACATGATAGGATACACAGGGCCCTCCATCCTGCTCCCACAATCGTTTTTGTCCAGGGATATCATGCTACATGTAAACATACAATTCAAATATATTTCTCTAAATATTAACATTGCAAAAATATTTCAATATAATAGATACATTTGTTAAAAAAATCTTTATTCAAGTTTTGCGAAAAAACACTAGTTTATGTATGTAGAAAAATATGTTGTTTTTTCTTCCTATTTAATTGAAAGCAGATCTTATTATACATGCATTTTGAACTGTCAAAATAACTGCTTAATGCAGGGGTGAAAGGTTTGATAAATACGGCAAAACAACAATTTCGGAAACAAAGCCCTCAAGTGTGCACACTATTTACAATCTTGTCAGTCTGCAAAAGAGGCTGAGTCTCACGAGAGACCAATTATTTGTAGCAGGGCCCATCCAATTAAGCATGAAACAAAAAGTATTCTTTGAGTTTAGGAAGTGTAAAACTACATAAAGATGCTACTGCTGTGTTAAATAAACAGTTTAGTTGTAATTGTATTTATATATGTTGCATTTTTAAGTAGAATACAAATATACAATAGAAGACATAGTCCTCATATTAAGATTGAATTAATACTCACATGTACTGTGACTGTATAAACACGCAACTTGGTTGCTTATGTAAGCGTTATTTGAGGTGTACTAAACTGTTTGTCAATTTAATGGTACTGAGCTCATAAGCTTACAATGAGCTGAACCTTAGAGTCTTGTAAATACCACAAGGAAGGATTACCTGAGGTTGGTTTAATAAGATTGGTTTATGCCTTAATGTGTTATGGTACATTTCTAACATCACATTAAGATTTAGATATCAGCCCCCTTGCAAGTAGGGTATAGAAAGGAACAATTTCCCTTTGAAGTGTTCTTTAAATTCTATTACTTAGAAATAGTTTTAATTGTGGCAACTGAATACCAATTCTCCCAGAAGTTTATGGGAAATTGATGTTAAAGGGTGTGGCAAAACCACTGCTTATTCGTGTGTTTTTCACTGGTACTGTGTGTTTCCCCTTGTATTTCATGTAGTGTAACCTGTTTCCCCATTCGGAAGCGTCCATATGAACGGAATCAATTCGTCTCCCCGATACCCTATAAGAATGTTCACACCAATTACTTAGAAAATTCACACCAATAACATAAGTGCGAAACCGCAAAGGAAGTAATTGAGTGCTCACCTGGGTGGCCTCCATTTCATATACACGAACGCCAACCAGGGGGAGCATTCGTATCCAGAAAATAGACGCTTCCCTTACATGTTGTTCACACAGGAACCACACAGAGGCCGGTTGGGGAAATGTACTATTTTGGGGGTTCCTGAGGTTGGTGGGGATGCTTTTGGGGCACTGGCTATTTTGGTGGGCTTTCTGTACCTGGGAGACAAAAAGACTAGACCCATTTTCCCATGCCTTGGATCCCAGGCACAGAGGATCCTGGGATGGAAACCCCTGTTTGTGTGGAAGACTCCTTGCAGGGCAGTTATGCATAAAAGCCATGTGTGGCACAATAAAATCGAGTTGTACTCCCAGAGCTGTGTGTCATCCAGTTACTGGGGGGAATGGGTGTATTTATACTTTAAGTGGCTCCAGAGTGGCTGAGGGAAGGAATTAGCGGAGATAACCTGTCCGGATACCCGTGGTCTGCTACAAAGGGATAATTTTAGAGAATGCAGGTTAGATTTATGTACCCATATAAAAACAATAAGCAAGATACCTAATACAGTTATAAGGTGTACATACATATCTATGGATACAAATATAACACCATTTAAGGTTACAATTCAAACCAAATTTATTTCACATTGCTTTGGAAAAATATACTGAGATACTGGATGAAACATCATAATAAGGTAAATATTTTAAGACATATATTACAATCCAAGCACGTTTGTAAACAAACTGAAATAAAACCACAAAATCAGAACAGGTATTTATATATTCATCCTTTTTATAGCTTTTTAAATAGAGTTATACATCGAATAAGTCAATGGGACCTGCTGGAATACACCCAAAGTTATTAAAAGAGCTTAGTGGTGTACTAGCAAAACCATTAACATATTTATTTACCAACAATTGTTAACAGGAGTAGTCCCAGAAGATTGGAAGTTAGCGAATGTTGTGCCCATTCACAAAAAAGGTAATAGGGAGGAGTTGGGCAACTATAGGCCAGTAAGCCTTACTTCAGTAGTGGGGAAAGTGATGGAAACCATGTTAAAGGATAAGATTGTTGAACTTGATTTTTTTGATTGGGTAACTAAAATAATAGATCAGGGTGGTGCAGTAGACATTGCTTACCTAGATTTCAGTAAGGCTTTTGACACTGTTGCGCATAGAAGGCTTATCAGTAAATTGCAATCTTTAAGTTTGGATTCCAATATTGTTGAATGGGTAAGGCAGTGGCTGAGTGATAGGCAACAGAGGGTTGTAGTCAATGGAGTATATTCGAAGCTTGGGCTTGTCACCAGTGGGATACCTCAGGGATCTGTACTTGGACCCATTCTCTGCAGAAGGTCTTGATGGTAAGGTATGTCTTTTTGCTGATGATACTAAGATATGTAACAGGGTTGATGTTCCAGGAGGGATAAGCCAAATGATTTAGGTAAACTAGAAAAATGGTCAGAGTTGTGGCAACTGACATTTAATGTGGATAAGTGCAAGATAATGCATCTTGGATGTAAAAACCTAAGGGCAGAGTACAGAATATTTAATAGAGTCCTAATCTCATCATCGGAGGAAAGGGATTTAGGGGTGAATATTTCTGATGACTTAAAGGTAGGCAGACAATGTAATAGAGCTGCAAGAAATGCTAGCAGAATGCTTGGTTGTATAGTAAGTATTGTACGCAGTACTGGAGACCGTATCTTCAGAAGGATATTGATACCTTAGAGAGAGTTCAGAGAAGGGCTACTAAATGATCTTAACATGTTTAGTGTGGAGGAAAGACGAGACAGGGGGGATATGATAGAAACATTTAAATACATAAAGGGAATCAACACAGTAAAGGAGGGGACTATATTTAAAATAAGAAAAACTGCCACAACAAGAGGACATAGTCTTAAATTAGGCAAAAGTTTAAAAATAACATCAGAAAGTATTCCTTTACTGAGAGGGTAGTGGATGCATGGGATAGCCTTCCAGCTGAAGTGGTAGAGGTTAACACATTAAAGGAATTTAAGCATACGTGGGATCGGCATAAGGCTACCCTAACTATATGATAAGGCCAGGGACTAATTAAAGTATTTAGGAAATTGGGCAGACTAGATGGGCCGAATAGTTCTTATCTGCCGTCACATTCTATGTTTCTATGTTTCTATGCAATCAAACCTGCATCAATGGATAATATTTTAGTATCAGTACTTTTTAATTATTGACACTGTGTATTTTCTCCTCTTTCCCATTTGTTGTATGGAGATACTTCCTGAAAAAGTACTCTAATACCATCAGGACAACTTATATAGCAATGCTATAAATTACCCCACCCCCAATATGGTATTATTGGGCAAAGATGGAATAATGTACACATATTAGTTGTGTAAACATTTATTCCTGGTAGAGACAACCATTTGCCCGGAGATAAGATGGGGAATTAAACCTCGGACGTGATATATAAATGGTAAGGAAATGTTCACAATATCTGCAAGATAATAATATGAAACATAGTGTGTACTGTTTATTTAAAGAAATTAAAAAGGAGTAATTTCCTTACCATTTATATACATAAGTATATTTGTATTGTACAACTGTATTCAGTCTGAAGGGTTCACCTCTACTTGGTGTGATTGTTTACACTTTGTTGTAGGTGTTGTGTTGTTTTGTTTGGTATTATATAAACATGTGTGCCCTCCATCTTAATATTGAATGATATGGCTATTATCTGTATAAATCTATATATCTGAAATAGTCTATATTGAGTATGGATGTTAATTCTAGTATTACGTTATTAGGAGAAATGTTCTGCAAAATTATTATTTTCTGCTATAGTTTCCCCAAATGACCAGATCCATAAAAAGATCTTATAGCCTCGTTTCCACTGAGCGGTACAGTTCGGGTTGGTACAGTTAGGGTTAGAATGGTCCAGCCTATTCAGGTAAGCATTTCCACTGCAAGTTGGACCACCAGGGGGCTTGCGGGATTTAGATCAAATGCCTAGTTTGCAGGAATCCTTCTCCTATTATCTGGACTGAATGGCGACGTGTTGTTTGTTTCGCGCTTGCCTTTGATGTGAGCAGTGACATTTTTCTGTCTGCCAATCAATGGACTGTATCGTGTGACGCCAGTAGCTCCGCCCTAACCGGACTGTGCCATTTCCTATGGACCTACAACTGAAGGCGGCACAGGAATGGTGCGGCTTGGTTCGCTTGTATGAGCCACTTTTATAATGGAAACACTCAAAATAGCGTACCAAACCATATCGACCCAAACCGTTCCTCTCAGTGGAAACGAGGCATATGTCACAAACACTAATGATGCATTTTTGTTCCATTTATGCAATCTTTTTCTCTGTGGTGGCACATATTTACTTTGCCTTAAACTGCTATGTAAGCAAGTTTAACTTCTACTTCTACTTATATTCTTACTTACTGCTAAATATCCTTACTTATTATGTCTATTAACAAGTATATCCTGAAATATATCTATTAACTCTACTGAAGACCTGCACCAAAATTGACTTTAAATATTACAATTTACTACAAAGATTGTCAAGAAAAAATATCAAGCATATAACGTTTCTGACCTCCACATTTTGTGTAATTCTACCCCACTCTTTTTAATTTATTAGAGTAGGAAACTCACCACCTCCGTTTCTGTAAGTCAAACTTGTCATGTTGCAATTACAGTTTTGTCTGCCAACTGTACAGCACTGAAGAGTTTGTTAGAAAGCTAACAATTATTAATGTTGCTATTATAAATAAACCACTTACAATGCAGCACCTTACAATGGACTCATTGTGGATTATAGTTGATTATACAGCAACAACAAAAAAGCCATATTTCCTCATACCTGTACACTTTTTGTCAATCAGTTTATTGTGGTGAATATCGACTACAGAAACATGCAACTATGCCACTTTCCTCTTGGTAAAGTTTTTTTGTTTTATTAAATATACTTTTTACAGGATATTTAGACAGAGCAGCTGTCCCAAAAATAGCTTACTCCTCTTAATTGCTCCAATTCTTAAACTTTGTACAAATCGCCGGAAACATGCCATGTTAAAAAAATGAAATGGGATAATTTTGGATTCCATATGTACTCTTCCCTTTTTTGGGTGTTACAAATGTTCTTCTCTGGAAATAGCTTATATTACCTGAGCAGTAAACTCGCATGACGTTATTTTTTTTAAACACCTTGCATTTTACTTACCGATTCACTCTAGAAAAAAAGCTAGGTTTTCTTACAAAGATTTGTGAATATGTATTTACAAATAATAATGATAATAAAACAAATAATGTGTATACGTTTGAAAATCAGTGTATTCTCCCTTCTCAAAAATACCTAAAATACACAAACAAAAATACATTTGCATTATTTAACTGTTATGTTTGCGACAATTATTGATAAATATATGCCAGCATAAAACATGTCCATTGTCTATTGAGCAAAGGAGTTCTAATTAATGTGTTTTATGAAGTTCTTAGGGTTTTACTCAGTTTGTTGATTGAATTGTGCTGGCCTTTAACCCAACAATCTTTCAAATAAACCCATCTCACCCATTGCTTGTTAACTCATCTATAATTAAACTCAGACCTTTGTGACCACCATGTTTGACATTTGACATTTCACATGACAGCCTTCTCCACTGCTCTGTAAAGAGGTACAAATGTTCTCTAAATTTTAAAGCAATAAGGCATGGCTGCTTTCTTAATAGAGGCAATACATATATTGGGGCTATTCATCAAATGGTGAACTGCAGTAAAACGAGGGGTAGCAAAATTAAGGAAAAAATGCAGAATTTATTATTTACCTGTTGTCATTACTCGATTTTTAGCTTTAAACAGTGGTTCTAATCCATATCTGAACATATGATATTGGGATAGTTTTATCAGAACAATTCTATAAAATTTTCCAGTTTAGAGATCTTGACCTGGATATTATAATTCATCACAATTCATTGTTTAATGAATCAACCAAGTTCATTAAAACAGTATATAGTAGTGAACTGAAACCCAGATTGTAAAATGTAGGCAAACCTATATGAAAGAGAAAAAAAATTCAACTATAATCACAGCTTGGCAATTTTGTTTTATTTTTTTAATTCTTTCTTTTTGTTGTGCAAGTGAGAACAGCAAACTTGTAAAGCCACGACAGCTGTATCAAGCCCAATAACAACAGTATAAAACATCAACATGGCACACAGAGTGATAGCACAGTTTTAAAAAAAATAAGAGTATGAATAATTATGCATCTTCAGACTGTTTTCACTATAAAGCTAATAATCATTTAAATCGTCTTAGACACAGAGACTGTGAACTTTATAACACTCCAGTGGCACCCCCGAGACAGTGATCAGGAGTCTGGAGTTATCAACATACTGAATTAAACTAGAAAGCAGCAATGCAAGCACAGTAAGAGTTAAGTCATAAAGGTTAGAGCAGGGGAACTGCGTCTCAAGACAGTTATGAGTGTTACCCTCTGATAGTTGGGGGAGGTGATTAATTAATGTGATAGAAATAAATGATTGATAAAGAGGACATAAAGGAACAAGTTAGGATGTTAAGAATGTCACAGTTCTAAGAGGTATAAGTGGGTCAAAACCCGGTTGTTGCAATGGGCTGGGTTGCTCCTATGGCCATTAAGAGTGAGTTTACCCAAGAGACACTCACAATATAAAATTCAAAAGTGAGACAGCAAAACTTCAGGCAGAGTTAAGAAGCTTTCAGATACACTTGGAAGAATATGACCTAGAGTAGAAGTATTAAACATGGTTATGCAATATGCATGCTGGACAAATGTGTGAGACTTGTATTCGGTTCTCATATCGTGCGAAAGAGCATCTGCTCAGCCGATACCAGCCAGTGGTTTAGCATAGGCCTGCTGTGATCTGGCTCTCTGTAAGCGTTGCGGCCCCATCACGGCAATCGGGGAGGTACGGCGTGCCAGGCTAGGATGTTGGAGCGGTGACTCATGTTGGCACCCATCCTCATGTGTAGACGCGAGGGTAGGTGTGTGAGGGATGTCATCTGATGGTTGCTTCAGTGTTGCATGTGCCGGTTTGATGTGTCTGTCTCCTACAGGACCGGATCCCATGCTTTATGTTGGACCATGTGTGGTACGTGCAGTGCTGGGGATTTATGTTGTTTCTTCATAGCAGACTTCCGAATCACCCGAGTAGGCTTCATCTTGGGCGACGAGGATCACCTCACCAAGGGTCTAGAACAAACTTCACAAGTACGTCACAGTACCACAGTATGGGCTGATTCTTCTCTATTGACACATTAAATAATGCTAGTGATAAATGAGTTGAAGTGTGTTTAAATCTGTTGTAAGGGCATTGTGAATATATATAATTCAAAATATATATGTCAAAATTAATGTGCTAATGTGCAATTAAAAAAAATACAGTGTCAAAACGAAACAAAGTGATGGTGCATTCATGTATATACATGCACTGTGAGTATATATATCAAAGCACTGTCACTATGATAACTTATCTTCCACTAGACCAACCAGGCTAGACTTAGAAAGAGCGGGACTAAACAATTGTAGAACCTTTTTACCTTATATGGTGCGATATTGAATTTGTAAAAAAGTTTAAAATCCGACAATCCGATAAAAAAAAACACTATTTTTCATAGTAAAATACTTAAAGAAAAAATTTGGTTGTGATAAGATCTCACGATATGCCACCACAGAATGCTTAAAATACTACAAAAAGAATGGCAAAATTGCGGATTGAGGGACCTCTCATGGATACTAGACAAAGAGACAATTCTTCCATTTCCCTCCTGCATTCTAAATATAACCTCCCCTCCAGAAAACTATTTAATTATTTGAGAATCAAATCCTTTATAATGGCGAAATCACTAGCTCGGTTAACCCTGATAGATCAGTTCCTGGCTCAGCATTTTAGTAACAAACTGACCTCCAGGTTTTCCAGGTTTATGAATAACCAAGGGCAAAAAGAAAAAGTTCCGTCAATAATTAAATTGTAGCAAGAACTTCAATTTTCCTATTCTCTGGATGAATAACTACAGGGCCTCATTCTAGCGAAAATAAATATTCATTGTGTAAACATACTGGAAGTTTATTACAAACTCCTTTACCGATGGTATCTAGTCCCTACACAACTATCTTGAATCGATCCTCAGGTAATCCCAGACTGCTGGCGATGTGGTAAGGCACTAGGCTCTTTTCCCCACATATAATGGCAATGTGAAGAGCTGGGTAACTTAAAAGAGATTCTGTCCAGAGTGGTAAACTTCATTACTAAAAGGAAAGTCAAATTAACAGTATATATGTTTCTGTTCCATGTTGGCCTCTCTACCGGTAACATCAATGCTAAAACCCTTCTGGTCCACATATTTATGGCCACAAAACTAGTAATGGCCAGAAATTGGAGAACTATAGGTCCACCAAAATGGTCAGAAATATGTTCCCAGTTGAACTTTCAGTTTAGAATGGACGCAGGTTTTTATCCAGACAGACTCTCTACCGATAAATATGAAGCGATCTGGGACCCCGGGCTCAAATTTAACAGACTCTGTCAATGTAAATGCTAGCTAATGTGAAACCTGGCCATTTTGCCGCTGCCGGTATGATTTGTATGATTTTTATGTGTCGAGGGGTCAAGTTGGGAAGCAATAAAGATCCTTCCCTGATTGAAAATTACCGCCCCATATCACTTATTAACGCTGATATAAAACTATACTCTGCTGTTATAGCTGATAGATTAAAACTTATTATTCCATCTCTAATTCATCCAGATCAAACAGGGTTGTCGGAAGATATTCTTCTGATAAAATATGAAGTATGAAGAGTTGTAGACTTGATAGATCTGACTAATAGAAGATCAAATTAAACCATTTTACTCTCGCTTGATGCAAATAAAGCCTTTGATCATGTAAGTTGGAATTTTATGTTTCAAACATTGATCAATAAAAGTTTTAATGGCTGGATTTTTAGGGCAATATCTGCTCTTTATACTAACCCTTCAGCCAGGATTATCGGATCAGGTATCACTTCTTCTTGGTTTAAGGTTCAAAACGGGACTAGGCAGTATTGCCCTCTCTCTCCAATGTTATATATTCTTACTTTAGAATCTCTCTCCCAATATATCAGAATGAATGAAAATATTAAGGGAATACAGTTTGATCATAGAGAGACAAAAATAAGCTTTTATGCGGACAATATCATATTGACATTAAAGGGACTCTCCAGGCAGAGGATTTTACTCACCTGGTTCCAGCGCCGGGAGCCTCGTGAAGCCGCGCCCCCTATTTCGTCAAAATGACGAAATAGGTGGGCGTGAGCAAGGAGCAATCAGACGCTTCCATTCATGCCGCCCTCTGAAGTCCTGAGCGCACTAGCGCGCATGCGCGTGGTGTGTGCGGCTGCGAGCTGAGCTGACTGACAGCTCAGCTTGCGGTCTTTGCCTGCCCCCTCTCCTCTGCTGACCGGCAGAAGAGAGAAGGCGCGCACGCAGTGCCTTCTCTCTCCTGCACACGTCAGACGTATTTTAATACGTCTGATGTGTACAAGGCCTTTTTAGGGCCCTACATGATAGGAAGTCCCTCTGGTGGCCCTCTGAGTGATGGCCACTGGAGGTATTCCTATCAATCAATGGAAACACTGTATTTTCACTGAAAATACAGTGTTTACATTAGATTGCCTGCAGGGAGCTATAGATCATACCTGAACAACTACATTAAGCTGTAGTTGTTCAGGTGACTATAGTGTCCCTTTAATAGATCCTGTAACTTCCATAAGTTGCCTTCTCAAAGAATTAGAAATCTATGGAAAAATATCAAATTATAAGCTTAATACATCTAAATCAATTATCATGAGCTGGAATCTAAAGGCAATTAAGGATTTATTACAGAGAGAATATACTTTTAAATGGGAAACAGACATTATTGAATACTTAGGCATTGTTCTTACCGCTCAGGTAAACAACTTAACCAAGGTCAACTGAAGGGTTTTGTTTAATCAGACTACCAGACTGCTCAATGAGTGGAAGTCTCTGGAACTCTCATGGATGGGACGAATCAATGTCATAAAATCTTATGTGCTTCCAATATGGAATTATCTGTTTGGGGTGATCCCTATATGTTTATCCAAATGAAGCTTACTTAAAATCCAAATAATTTTTTCGGTTTATATATCCATGGGGAAAAAAAACAAGAAAAAGAAAGATACTTGAGAAAATAACAGATAAAGGAGTTTTAGCTATCCATAATATTAAAAAATACCATGATGCTGCTATGCTTAAACATATCTACAAGTGGTTTAAAAATTTTTTGATCTTCAAAAATTTATGTTGGGTATTTCTGACCTTTCCTTTTTATTATGGATTGATCCAAAAAAACTGAGTATTGCTACAAGCTTAGATAAGAAATCTGGGAAACATTTTTTTACTGGTCAAATTTTTAAATTTTGGGCCAGATTTAAGAAAGAATATAATCTAATATGGGATAACAGTATCAGAGCTAAGAGCAGTGTTAGTCTCTTGGAATATAATATGGAAGATATTAACTTGTCCATTGGAAAAGGAACGGTATAGGGGCAATAATAGATATTTTTGAAGGTGCCCACATTAAATCGTTTCATAAATTAGCACGAGAATTTCATTTACCTTCAAAATACGTTTTTGCATATCTCAGGGTTAAAAGCTATCTGAGGAATTTTATATGCTAAAAAGATAATGAAATTCCAGGTCTGGAGCCCTAATTAAAATATGGACATAATATCAGAATCCTGATGAGTAATTCTATTTTTGATAATGAAGACCCATCTATAATAGATCCAGTTCTTGGTATTATAAACAATTGGAAAACGGATCTTGAAATTGAGATCCAAGCATTGGACTGGTATAAGATTATGCCGACAGTTAAGAAGTCTATACATTGCCTAAATCTTATAGAATTACAATATAAGATATTAACTAAATGGCATTTGGTTCCTAAGAAAATCAACAAGATGTTCCCCACATATTCTTCTTTGTGTTGGCGTTGTAGCCAACAAGAAGGCTCTTATATCCATATTTGGTGGAAGAGCCCTTTTGGGAATGAACATACAACATATTGAAATATACATACATATGACACCTTCTACTTAATCTGCTTTATTACATCTTGATTGGCCTAAATAGTAAAAAAAAAATGGATATACAGTTACTCACACACTGATAGCTGCAAAAAAAATGTATTGTAAATTTCTGGAAACAGAAGGAGCCCCCAACATGGGTAACGCTTAAAACACAAATTTCTTTCCAATTAAAAATGGAGAGAGAGCCCTTGCCTATAACTAAATATGGATGGGAAATATGGAAAAACTTTATTCAAAAAGCTTAGTATATATATATATATAAAACTGGATGAGAATTTCATGAATGCTTAGGTGGAATCCCTCATTTTGGGATGTCCTCCACTCCTCCCCTCTCCCATGGGACAATATCTTGGGGACCCATGATATGAATATGGTATTAAATACGTAGATTCCAAATAGGATCCTCCTTGTGCTTTTCTTTACGGTATTTTAATGCTTGAGACCATTGTGTTTTTGTTTTTGTCTGTTTTTTTTGTGGTGCAGTATGTTAAAGCCTTTGAGCATTTGGATTCAAAACTGATAGATAAATATGTGTTCTGTATAATAAGGATTTAGGAGAAATGGACATTGAGAGATCATTAATGTACTGTATCTTGATGATTTGTGATTGTATGTCTTATTTGATACTTGTAAAATACCTAATAAATATTTATAAAAAAAAAATAAAGAATGGGAAGCAATAAGATTAATCATATAATTTTAGTTTCGAGGGCAATACACACCTTGTCTCCTACTCGGGGGTCGTTTCTTATTATTTTCCTTGCATTTCAATTCTAACTGTTATTCACACTAATGACCCAGTGTGCTTATGGTATAATTAGTGTTTACTCACAAGGATGTTTTGTATAAAAAATGTTTACGGTCTAATGTAAAACCGAACTAATAGTGGAAATTCATGCAAAATAAAGAAATATATATAAATTAAAAAGCATTGTCACTATGGTTTTTTAGTGTTGACTGTGTTTTTGAATTGTGTTTATCACATCAAATTTGCATTCTGTATTCATTATGCTCTTACGATAAATTAATAAAATATGCTTTAGCTTATTTAGCACTAGCAATATTTAGTTTGTACGGTGCAGCAGTGATGGGATTAACACAATATGGTCATATGGGGTAACTGA